AACATGTATTACAACACTAATCCCTCAATAATACACAAGATCAAGATGTAGAAAGCATGCTTGGGGCTAATTACAGCCCCAAGAGGATGTCTAGCCACTCATGGTAGTGCTTCTCCAACTCTCAAGGGCTAACTCCATGGTAGAGATTTGCTCCTTGGTTGATGAAGAGTCTCCAATGGTGTCTCTAGCCTCCTCCTCCTCTAAGCTTGCTCTCCAAGAGTTCTTATAAGGTATGAGATGGTATGATGTGGTATGAGGTGATATCATGTAAAAAGTAATCCTTATCCTTATATAGGTAGGTCAAATGACACACAAAATGAGCCGGGGTCGTGCACAAAATATTCCTCAATGATTAGATAAAGGACAACTTTTTGTGAGCTGGAGATTTAACTTTTTTGCACTGGAGGAAGTTCGATCGATCGAACCTTGGATTTGGATCGATCGAATATGGCTGAGATCTATCGAACTTAGGCTGGATCGATCCTCAATGGTGGCGCTTTCTGGATAAAGACAAATCTGAGATATTTTGAAGATATTTTTGGGAAAAGGATAAAAGTGGTTGATAGGGTGGTACAACTAGATAAGATCAATTATTTGGATAAGGACAAGACAGTTTGATCGATCGAAGAATGATGTTAGATCAATCGAACTTTTGAGATATCTGAAAATGTCATCATGGCTCTGATCCATCTTGAAGTACTGAGATCGATCATGTTGGATCGATTGAACTTTGATCTGAGATCGATCGAAAATGTTGAATTTCACCTTTTTCTTCCTTTTGCTTCCACTTAGTTCCTTTCTTTGATTCATCCTAAAATTGCTTCATTTATACTCTTATTTTGCTGAGTTAGCTTATTTTCGGGATAAGTACCTGAAAATGGAAATAATACGAAATCAATCTAAAACGGTAAAGTAAGATAGATAAAGGTACTAGAATGTCTGAGCTTAAGAGGTTTAAATACGCACTTTTCAGCGCTCATCAGGTGGAAACCATGTCTAAGCATGTTGGCTAAGCACCCAACACTTGCTTTATACATGGAAAACCATTGCCACACTGAATGGTGAGGATGCTTCAGATAGGCATAACATTCCCTAGTAATGTTGAAAGACAAATCAAAACTCTGGCAGTAGCAGACATGCCCTATATCTGAGAAAGCGTAATGAGCAAATTAAATTATCTAGACCTCAAAATTGAAATTTGTCTTCACCAGTACACTTCTAAGATTTCAAAGAAGCTCTCATAATTTTCCAATGAAAAAACTCCAAACTTCATTTTTTGACATATTTATGAAAATGTCCCTATGCACACTGGTAACACCCCATAGCTGTCAGAGAGATTGTCAAGGTCCGAACCCCATAACACTAGTCTACTTGCCACCATATATGTCTATTTTAGGTTGCCTAATGCAAACTTATTGTATTGTCAACTAAATGACATACATTTAATTAATTAATTAATTAATAATAATAATTTTATTTTTATTTACTTTTTATTTATTTACTCAAATGAGTTTATTTATTTATTTCTTTTCTTTTCTTTTCTTCGCGACCTGAGCCATAGAATTCGGGTCATAACATATACCCCATTGGGCATTTTTGGAACAGTAAAAGGGCAAAACGAGTATTATAACACTAATTTATGTCATGGGTATTTTTGCACAGTTTGAAATGATTAGGGATATTTTTTGCATACTTTTTTAAATAACGGGTAAAAGTGCTACGTGGAATATACTTTAGTTTAGGGATGTTTTCTTCACTTGTCCTTTTTAATAAATATATTTCAATTTTGATGGAACTAAGTTCAACAGATTTTCTCTTATTCCACTTGATCAATGTAAAATACTACGCAGGTCATTTAAAAGTTTGGGTAAATTACATGGATCTTTCTTAAGGTTTTGATAAATTATACAAGGGTAAACAGTTCAACGACCTCCCTGAGTTTTGGCATGTGTGCTCAATGACTTTCTTAGAGATTTATTTTCGATAAAGTTGTTGATCAAATTTTATAAAACCATGATTTTTTTTTTCTTTCTTTTTTATAAGATGCAATATAATATATTATTATAATATAAGGGTTTTACTAACTTTTTATCTTCAAAATCTTTTTCGACCAACAATGAAACGGGTTTAGAGGAAGTAAGACTAATAAATGTTGAATTGTTGACCTATGTGTAATTTGTCCAAACATCAGAAGTGGTCAATATAATTTATCCAAAAAGTTTCCATTACGTGTAAATATTATTTTTAAAAACGAATAATATTTAAAAATTAGAAAGAATTTGATCACCCTTCTAGCATCCAAGATAAATTTATTCGTCTTTTAGAGGAAACGGATAAAAACAATTTAAAAAAATTGATAAACCCTTCTACACATCAAATAAAATTTTGTTGACCGTAGGAGTTTCAATACATGTTAATTTACAATACTGATAATTCTTCCACTCTTTAATTTTAAAGAAAAATATTTATATGCACCAAGCTTAATGCTAACATTACAAGAGGGGTAGTTTAGTAATTCTTGCCATTGTAAACAATTAAAATAAATAAAAATAATCCCAAGGCACATACATATCCCCGTGAAATGAATGTAAGGGTCTATTTAGTTATACGAAAATTAATAGTGAAAGTGAAAGTGAAAGTAAACGAAAGTGAAGTAAAGAAAATACAAAAATTTATTTATTTTATATGCATTTGGATAAGATATAATAATAATAATAATAATAACAAATAAAAAACAAAGCAAACAATTCTCACTTTAAACAGGCAGAAAATTTTATTTTAAAATTGCGTGAGTTATCCTGCGTATTTTCGATTTTAATTAAGTATACATATTGTTTTTCTTCTCTCTCCATAAATCATTGAATTCCTTACCTAGGGTTGCCCACACAAACCAACTCTTAAGCCAGGAGAGACATGACTTTTATACATACATGTATATAACATTATTATTATTTTTAAATCATTACACATTGATCTAAAACAAATCCAAGTGAACACATATATTTTATGTATTACTACTCCTATTTAAATACGGTATGCAACATAATCAAATAATTTTTTTGTTGGATGGCAAGAGTTATCGAATGAGGAAGAATGTAACTGGTTCTTGTCCCGGTTCAAATTGGAACAAAATAGGGTTATGGGCTTAGAAGGGTGAACCTAACATCTTATATCTTATATTCTATTTGGCAAGTAAAAGAAAATTGGATAGAAAGAAGAGAAGAATGGATGAATGTAATATCTCTAGAGGGAAAGGATAATGTCCCTTTCTCTTTTTGTCTGGTTGGATGGATCATGGAAGGAAAGGAGGAAACATATTGTTTCATTTGTTAGAGAGAAGGAAGGATAAAGATTGCTAATATTGAGTAGGGGGTGGGCAAATAATCCATGAATTTGCAAATCCGACAATAGGATCGGATTGTTACATCCATGGATCGGTGGTGGATTAAAAAAGAACCGAATCCGTAACTCACAGATCGGATTACGGATTTGGCTGTTAAAATTCCGATACTATCCAATCCTTGAAAATTATATATATATTTTAAAATATTATATTAGTTAATTTAATTAGTTAATGATAATTTAATGGACTATAAGGATGTATTAGTTAATAATTATTTAAATATATAAATTAATATTAATAAATTAAAATTTTATCTATTGGGTTATGGTTAAAAAAAAAAAAAATAATAAATAATATTAATTATAAAAATAATAATGGATAATTTAGATAAAACCAAATCCGCGAATCCAATCTGATTCGATCCGTTATTACATGGATCTGATCCGTGGGATAACGAATTTGTGACGGATTAAGATTTGTTTAATCCGTTGGGAGCGGATCGGATTCGGATTGATGTCTAATCAGATCCGATCCGTTCTGTTCTGTTTCGTGGCCACCCCTAAACAAAAATGTGTTTTACTGAGTTTATTTAATAATTATGAAGGGTAATATTGTAATTTAATTTTTATACTATTCTTGCATATATTTTTTTATTTGTTTTCGTTCATATTTGGAGGGGAAAAAATTTGTTAAGTACGAAGGGTGATTCATTAATAGTCTTTTTCTTTACCTTCTTATTTTATATCTACCAAGTCCGAAATTGTGAATAAATTTACAACTTGAACTTAAATGTAATAAAATCCAAACCTAATACGACAAACCATAAGCCTAGTCAGTCAAGCTTGATTCTAAACACCGTCAGATTGAGCTCAATCCAAATCGTAGCAATAAGTTTATATTAGGCTGATTGGAATGGAGGTCGTTAAAACACGAAATAAAATTAGGTTTGATGCAAATACACGTAATCCCAATTAACACAGAAGTTCATGCATGAATGTGAGTATCAAGATTGAATCTTACGGGCATCATTATTAATATAAAACGAATCATACAAAATGAGATATTGTACAAAATAGAAGTGAAACACGATCATTTATGCTCACTTTTTCTCAAATTCGACTCTTTTAGAAAATATTTATATTTGAATTTTAGATTGAGTAAAAAATTAAAGTCAAAATCAAATAAAATGAGTTTAATTTGAATAAAATATTAAATCAAACCAGCATGAATAAAAAATGACTAATTAATCAAATAACAAAATAACTTGCTACAACATAAAATCTTAATTCAATAAATATCTTTTTAATCCATATGACTGTAACATAAAATTAAAATCATTAAACAATGATTTGTATAATGAAAAAATATTAACCGGGTTATATCATTTTCTTTTTTCCTCAACCGATAAAAAAGAAAAAATGCGGAAAGGAACAAAAGAGTGAGACACAGTTTTGTTAATGCTATCGTTGAAAGTCAAGTGAAGTCCGATACCATCACACGTGTCATTTTGCTGACTCATTATCATAGATGGATCACGAAGAAATCAACTTCAAAAGCACGACGTGGCGAAAAATGATGGGTCCTCCACAACGTGGTCCCACCCATAGATATAAAATTTCGCTTCCATCCGTTTTTTTTTTAAAAAATTTATCCGTATTTCTTCTTCTCGTTTCTTCCAAATATCGTCGCGAATATTTTACCCTCTAAAAATCTCAACCGCGAACCAATTCAGATTTCGTCGCCGCTCTGCGTTTTCGTGTTCGTGTGAGAGAAGAAAAACAGAGAAAACCCTAACCCTATTTCAATTGATTCTCAATTTCAGCCCAAAAACATAAAATTCGTTGTTTTCTCTGTGTATCTCAGATCTATGATTCTTGAATCTTGTTTCGAATTCGGCTTGTGTTATTACTCTGGATCTCCAAGTCCCGTTCGTGTTTGTTCAGATTTAGACGTTTCTTCGATTCAATTGTGTGATGGTGTGAATACAGAGGCGTTGGAGAGGTAGGTCGAATCCCAATTTGGGGATTTTTATTTCTATAATTTCAAATTCAAACGACGTTTAGGCGGTTACTGATAAGTTAATAGTTTGTTCAATTTGTTCACGAGTACGCTTGTGGCTAGTATTTAACCATGCAAAGAATGTCCTTTTCTATTTAAAAATTTGATTCAAATATTTGGGGCCAAGTTGAAATTCGAATTTGATTAGTATTGCGTCGAACTCTATTATTAATAATTAGGTTTTTCTGTATTTTGATATTGAATGCTTTCCTGCAATTTAGAGTTGTCAATATTCAATTGCTTTGAATTGTTAGAGGAAGCGTGTTTGGATGGGAGAAGGGGAAGCTTGTGTGGTAGTGTTAAATGATGGAGAGATGGAAGATAAGGATTCATTGAGAGTCGAGTCGAAGCGTGACCATCAATGGCTGGTAGACGATACTGTAACAGAGCCTTGCACTAAGAAACAGGCGAGGGAATCTTTGAGCGATACTGGGTCGGAACATTCCACAAAGAACCAGTCAAAAGAGGCTTCGGTTGATGCTAAAAAGGAGCTTTCTGCAAAGAATCAGGGAAAGGAAGCTTCGAACGAAGACATATGCTCAGAGGTTTCAGACCCGAATTTGTCACCAACAGATAATGCTTCCAGCTTTCGGACTATCAGTAGTCAATCAGCCGAGTTGGTGAGCAATAAACAAGTTGGTTTTGGCGAAATAACGTCTACTGGTTCAGGGAATTCAAGTACAGATGAGAGCTTGAGTGAAGAAGAGCACAATAGGAATGATATATCTGGTGCAATTTCTACATCTCACGTTGTACTTGAAATTCCAAAAAGCACCAGCTCCTCTGGTATCAGAAAGATCATATTTAAGTTCAGTAAACGCAAGGAGGACTATGAGAATAAATGTTCTTATTTGGCTGCTCAGCCTGTAGCTAATGGGGTTAGTGGTGACCTATCTTACAGTGGCTTGCATGAGGAGTCGGTATGGAAGTATTCAGCATTGGACGATTCAAATGCAGAACTAAACACTAGTTTTTATGGGAAGTGGTTATCCGAAACCAATGACCCTCGATTTTGTGCTCCTAAGATGGAATTGAAAATGTCAAAGAAGGTTGTTCCTGACAGCTATCCTACAAATGTCAAAAAGCTATTATCAACTGGTGTTCTTGAAGGAGCTCAAGTGAAGTATATCTCTACCTCTGGGGAGGTATGTAGTCGTTCAATATACCCTATATTGCTTTCGCGACACTATATGATTCTTTTGGAATCTAATGTGCTTTTTAATGATTGTCAGAAGGAGCTCCCTGGAATCATAAGTGGATATGGATATCTCTGTGGCTGTTCAAAGTGCAATTTCTCCGAAGTAAGTCAGTTCTTTTGCAGTAAAAGTTATTTTTATTTGGGATGTTTTTAGAAGTTGTTTGGTTTACTGAATGATTGAATTACACAAGCAGGTTCTTAGTGCATATGAGTTTGAGCTGCATGCTGGTTGCAAAACTAGACACCCAAATAACCACATATTCTTGGAGAACGGGAAACCAATTTATAGCATAATCCAAGAACTAAGGACAGCACCACCCAGCATAGTAGATAAAGTGATAAAAGACATGGCTGGTTCATCTGTTAATGAAGAGTACCTTCAGGTTTGGAAAGGTGATGCTGGTGCCAATTTTTTAATTTATATTATAGTTTTTCGAGACATATTGAAAGGGGGGTGTGATGGAAATTCATAGTTCAGAAGTTCATTATGGAGTATGCTAATCCCTCCTCTACCCCCAAAGAAACAACAAAAAAGAAAAGATTTAGGATTCATATTTATATGTGTGTATATACATTTTGTGCGAACATTTAAATGAAAATTAAGTGTAGAAAGCATTTACCTGTTTCTATTGTATGGATTTTGACACTCTTTGTATTCTGCAGCACGTCTCCAAAACAACGAAATGGTTAAAGTAGACAAAAAGCCTCATGTCAAGCTTCCTGGCATGCATCATTTGACAATGAGGTAATAAATTGAATTTTTTGTTTTTGTTGTTGTTAACTCAACAAAGCCTCTTTCCAACTATTTGGAATTGGCTACATGAATCTTGTTTCAATGTTCCGGTCTATTTAGGGCCATAACCTCAGCTAAATAAAAAAGGGCTAGCTCAGTGCAAGAGGCTCCCGCCTTTGCTGGGGCTGGGGAGGGTCAGATGTACGCCGACTTACCTCCACATGGAGAGGTTGTTTCCGGTTTCGAACCTGCGACCTCTAGGTCACAATGGAGCAACCTTACTGTTGCGCCAAATCACTTGCTATCATACATATTCTTACTGTCCCTACCATTAGTTTTGTTTTTCCCATTTCCTTAGCATTACAATCTTAACTCACTCAACATGCGATCATAGAATCCCCTCCTTTACTTGCTAGGAAAAGTTAATGTGGACCGCATATCTCTTCCTCACTAGTACCAGTATTAGTCTTTGTTCATATAAATAGGCTATCTTAATCGTTTTTCTCTCATTCTATTGCCAATTGGCACTACTTTAACCGTCTCAATAATATGCTTTTTCATCTTTTATTTCTTTGTTTTCTTAGAATACGAAAGATTTACCATGAAGCGCGATGTTTTTTATTTTTACATTTCTTATTTTAACTGTATGTAGATTAAATGCAGTAGCAGTTCTTTCTCAATCCAAGTCTATTTTTCCTTCTTATATATATATATATATATATATATATATATATTCCAAGCGAAGGTGTTCGTAAATATATTTGGTAGCTTACAGAAAGCGACAGTAAGGTGGAAATCGAATACCTGCAATGCCAGATTTTTATAGTCCATTCATTTTATGTGTAGTGTATTTCAATTATACGGTAGAGTCAGAAGACATGCTGGGCTTTTCCCGATATCGTGTTTCATTTGAGTTTGTGAACTGGTGTCGTGATCTTGGTCTATAGTTTTCTTTGAAGGGATTAAGCTTGTAATAGGTCAAAAAAGGCGGAGAGGTTTTCGGATGTATTGAAAATAGCATAAAATATGGAAGTTGTATGAGAACATATATGTGTGAAGGATTGAAAGTTTTCCTCATCCAAATTTGAGCCCAGAATGATTAAAGAAAAGTTATCCCCGAGCAGCCAACACAACACAAATGATTATCTGCCAAAGGCATGCCATGCAAATGCAATTAGTGACCAAGAACACATGTTATAGAAATTCAACTTTAATGAGTGTTGATCAATTTTAATTGTGTTAATAGCAACTCAACTTTATGCTCTGATTGTGCTGACTATTGGCTCCTTTTTGGGGGTTTGGGTCTGGGGTGGGGCCTACCTTTGTAGCAGCAAGTGTTCACCTTATTGAATGAGTTGAAAGATTGCAGGTGTTCTTATTATTGTACTTAGTGAAAACTCTGGTCCTTGTTTTCAATTAAACAACATGGTTTTTCGTGGGCTGAAAGCTGGTCAAGCATCCGAGCCCTTGAAACTTGCACAGCATGCACCTTTCACTAATTTAAATGTGTGACGGACCTTATAAAGAAAAATATGGGACCACGTTTCTCTTTTTTGAGTTGGCCTACATTTTCTTCCAAATATTGGAAGTTGACCTACAAAGATAATCCTTATCTTGCATCTTTTATACTTCTTAGATCTGTTTATCTTTGTGACAACGAAACTGAGGCTTGAGATGTGATTAAGATAATGACTTAACTTGGTTTTCTGTTTTCTGTTTTCTCTTAAGTCCGATTGTATGAATTGAAATATTTTGCGTCAACAAAGACTGAAACTCGGGTGGTGACCATTTTGCTTTATTTTGATGGGTTCTTGTCGTTTGCGCGCGCACACACACACACACAAATGTATGTATGCATATAATTTGATGCTTCTAACCAGTTGTCCCCTTAAGTTTAGAAAGACTAGAGAAAGTAAGAGGCAGCTATTTGCTCACGTTTCTAATGGTGGTCTTTAGCATCTATGACTAATTCAGAGTGTGTAATTGATTCGAACTGAAATGTGCGGAGGGAAACAAATCTATTTAGCTCAGACTAGGTGTCGTATGCTCGTAATCATTAAGAGATCCATCGAGTAGAAGATTTCAATATCTATGATTTTAAAGCCTTTTTTTTTCCTTTTAATTTCTAAATATTTTGTTTATATGAGAATAGAATCTTTAAATACATAACTGTCAAGTTACTACACTGAAACTTTCAGCTGTCCGAGTCAGCGGATTGAAGACAGACTTAGCCCTGCTTCATGTTCATATATTCGGAATTTCCCTTTTAGACAACCAACCTGTATGGAGACAGCAGAGAAGCAGAAACGTGTGGCTACTAAGAAGTTTGTTCCTTATTCAATTTGTTTTCCTTCTTTTTGGACTTCCTGTTTAAGCTAATAATTTATTATCGAAAATGAAATGCATCATTGTCTTGGTCATGATTTCACACCTGTTGTGCAGGCCAAGCTCCTACTATTCTGGCTCGGTTGTGCAACACAAAAGAACTGTTGAAGGTGGCACCAGGAAAAGGTAAGCTTTGTTTTTTTCTTTGTTGTTTTGATTTTACTGTTTTTCCTTGCCGCCTTTGTATAGTGATGCTCTTTATCAAGTTTTCATTTTGCCTTCTTTGCATACTGATGGCAGGGATAATGATCTACACCGCCTACTCTTTATGCCAAATGGACTTCCTGATGGGACTGAATTGGCTTACTATTCCAAAGGACAGGTTATATTTTTCGTTTTATTTATATTCATTTATGGTATGCTCCTTTCTTGCTGGATGTCTGTTTTCTGATTTATCTCTGTTTCTTGCAGAGAGTACTTCCTGGCTACAAGCAGGGAAATGGTATCGTATGTAGTTGTTGTAATGCTGAGGTAAAATTGTTGACCTTTTTGGACCACTTTTCACCTTACATACTGCATTAATTACCAGGATCTCTCTCTTTCTCTAATATATCCATCTATTTTTGTTGGCGAGCAGATTAGTCCTTCACAATTTGAAGCTCATGCTGGATGGTCTGCTAGACGTCAACCGTGAGTCGCCTACAATAATTGATTATTTAGTAACATTGATAAATGCACTATACTGAATCAAGGTTCTGCTGTTTTGCAGCTATCGTCACATCTATATTTCTTCTGGACTGACGCTCCATGATATAGCTCTTTCATTGGCTAATGGACAAAATTTTGCCACTGGCGACAACGATGACATGTGTGCAGTGTGTGGAGATGGAGGGGAACTGATCATTTGTGATGGATGTCCTCGGGCATTTCATACAGGTGGGTGTTTTGCTTTAGGTTGAACAAATTGATTTTTTGCTTGATTTTGAGTTGCTGCATTAATGTTTTAATTGTTATAATGTTTCGTGCAATTTTTGAAATTTCATCTTTATACGTTTCGTGAGAATCTAATCAATTTCTAACTTCCATGAAGTCCCAAATGGAATTGAAGTTTTATCAGACATGCAGGCATTGGGTGCATGGACATCCTTTTTCTTTTAAAATAAAATTCAAATGGAATTGAAGTTTTATCAGACACTCAGGCACTGACCTATGAATAGGTCAGTGGGAGCAATTGCTTCCATTGATTTTATTTTTTTGTTATTATATACTACTAATTTTAGTTTTAGTTTTTTTTTAATTACATACCTATAAAATTTCAAAGTTTCCCGCACTCAAATTATAGAAAAACTCCACTATTGCCCCCACAATATATATTTATATATATATTATTGTTGTTTAAAGGCTGCCCCCTCACATAATTATCTGGGTCCGTCCCTGCAGACGTGGATTCTCATACTAGACAGGTGGCCTTGGCCACAATAGTTACAGGATTGTTAATGGTTGAAGCTACAGAACTTGATTGACCCCCTAGTTTCTGTGCTGCCTGTTCAAAAGACCGGGTCAAGGCAAACTGATCCCTCTCATTGACCTGACATTGTTTATCAATTTTAAAGATTTTTACCTTATAAGGCTTGAACTGAAAAGTAGAATCATGAAATTCAACACACTTGCAACTGAATTTGAGATGCTTTCTATTGACAGTGCTCTTGGCTTAACTCGTTAGGGTTTTTTTTTTTTAAAAACTTGTGGTCCTTAAAATTAATCATTTTTTGTCGGGGTGCAAAAGTGAACCAGAAAGTTCACCCAATGTAAAAGAATTTAACTTGCGCTACAAAAAGGAGATATATAGATCTTAAAAGGAGTTGTATTATATACTATATTTGCTAATGAGATCTGGAGCAGAGATGAAAAAGTTAAAATTAAGAAAGAAACCCCATGTATAGCCGTTGTCTTCGTTACTATAGTAAATTACCCCCTCCCTAATGGGTGACTATTGCAACCACCTCCACCATGTTCCAGCACTGACACCTTGTCGCCACCACAATAATGCTTTTGTTGGCATCTTTCCTTCAAATACATAGGCAGTGTCACTTTCAACCTTCTATCTGGAACTCCCTTAATGCTGCCACAACCAGCTTGTAATTCATTCCAAAGTCAAGAAGATACGTAATATATCATATGTGTATATTGGATTTGCTAGCACTTCGTTTTATGGATTTACTTTTTTCTTTGAAAAGAAGAAACTTGTTGAGCTACCCAAATAATTAAATAATCTCCCATATGATCTATCTTTTTCCCTTCAAAATTGCAGATTTTTTAATTGGAAATGCAAGGACTAAATTGTTTCTTTAGCCAAACATATTTAATAGATCGTATAAAAATTTAATGCATACGGTACCAACATAGAGTACAATTAAATTTAGTCATATATTCAGTATATAATTTTAACCAATTTTTACACATGCGCACACACAAGACAATGATAGTGGCTTCTTTTCTTTCATTCTTTTATATATATTTTTATTTTTTTCTTTTGACTTTTGTTGTTATAGAAAGGATCAAAGTAAATAATATATAGATATGTTCATATGACACACTTGGGGATGGTAGCGGGGCAGGGTTCGCTAATCCTACTACACCCCATTAGAAAACCCATCATACCAATTTCGCCCCTACTCTGTGACGGGTTTGTAATTGTGATACCCCTCGGATCTGAGACACGGGTTGATCAGGCCCAGGTCCAAACCCGAGGGAATATCAAATAATTAATATTTAAATCGAATACAGAATACAAATTGAAATAATAAGAAATAAATAATAAATGGCTGGAAGAATTCTAATGAAAATCCTCAAAATAATAATATAAAATCCAACTCCAAAACTTCCAATTAATTAACAACTCGGGAATCCATCAAGTGGACCCCTAATGAAAATCCCAACTGTAAAGTGAAATAACTGAAATAAGATCCAAAGCTAGTAAGTAAGCAGTCCTACGTAATCGGAGGAATAGAAGTCCGTATCTGCTCTGCACGATCAAACTCTAACCCTGGAACTGACGAGCACCTGAAAAATAAAAGAGTGGGTCAGGACCACATGCAAGTCCTAATCTACTACAATCCAAACAGGAAACCGATACGCAGATACATCCTAGATAGACTCAACAATATCTAGAGTAGTCCATATATGTATATATTACACACTATAGGACGCTCACTAGTCCAATAGGTCTGTCTCAGCCTGAGTAAAGATACCATGCAAATCACACATTACGTGGTCATGTGTATCTAGACCTACCAGGGAACAACTACTGTCCAGCTATCCATCCTAGGCGATATACGCGCCCTAACCATGGTCCTGAGACTCAAGCTCATACCATGGCACCATATAATAAATATATAAAGTCCGTACTCCTAATACAAAATATCATCCAACTGTATAGTGGTCTGATACATGTATAACAACTCCATCCTGAAACCACAGTAGGTCATTCAATTATTTGATTGACATGACAGAAGTAGGTGATGGACTTAACCTATATGATTAATCCATACCTTAATCCAAGTTAGGTAGAACTTAGTGTTTGAACTAGTCCATATCTAGTATGTCACCGTCCTATACCGGTACATACAATCCTCCGGTTAGCATAGTTGACAATACAGTATTAAATAATCATCAACCGTATTCCAAAATATGCACAAGATAAATTAATCCATATACATAAATATTAGGCATTCAATGCTGGGCCTAAAATCATTTCCAATGTTGTAGACTGCTATAACATATGCAACCATTTACATCCTCCAACAAGATCCATGAATTGATACAATCTAATACAATTGAAGTACCAATTATATCCATACTAAGTATAGTTGATTTTAATTAATTCACCATACCTATAACACTGGAAAAATATATAATTAAATATAATTAGATTATATATAAAACCTTACACAGTTCCAGTAAATAAAACTAATAAGACAGTGTGCAAGTTACCAATTTTCTCTTAGGTTTTTCTTGCTCTATTCTTCAATCCAATTATGAATTTATATTTTTCCATCACAATACCAGTTTAATACAGTCCTAAGCACCACTTAACACAGTTTAAACGAAGTGCAAACACCCTGTGTAGCCCAGACAAGCCCCTAAAATCAATTCTGTAACGTATAAGGAGAGAGCAGGCTCTTTAAAAATTTAGAGCCTGCTCAAAACCACTTAGAGCTTGCTCTAAATCACTTAGAGCCGGCTCCAACTCTTTGGGAGTCGGCTCTAAGGGTTTTGGGAGCCTGCTCTCCCTCCCTTAGCAGCCGTTGTCCGTTTTCCCTTTGTCTTCTTCGACACTGGTGAGTTTCCAGCCCTCTGTACTGTATTAAATTCTTGTTCTAATATTCAATTAACATTCCAGACTACTTACAAGGCATCCATATGCCTCATTAATCTCAAAGAGCAAAGCTTAAACGCATAAACAGAAAAAGAAACAACTAACAAATACTTACAGAATTTTGTATATCAGTTTCATTCAACGAGATTAATTATCAGTCAAGCATACATAAAAGATTGTTTAAGTATTCATTAAACTCCTGGAGTCCATTTAAATATGCACAGAACACAGATTCATGGGAAAGAATAGAATAGAAACTTGCCTTTGAGTTTCAGTTTGAAACTCTAAACTGTCGTCTCTGAATTTTCCGACGAGATTCTCGACTGTTGTTCCACCTTCGTTACTCTTGGTTTCACCCATGAACAACCTCTCCTTCCTCCATCTTGGTCCAACCTTGGTCTAGACCAAAAACCTAGCCCTCATCTCTTTATCTTCCTCTGCTTCTCTCAATACCTCTCTGTATCTCTGTTCTACAGACTAACTCACGTTTTGTTTTTAAACCCTAATCCTCCGTGACATACATATTTATAGGCTTAGTGATTAAACCCAAATCCATGTATAACTTGACCGATAGAACAACCTAGGTTATATTCCAACGTCGGCTGAACTGAAAACCTAATATAACTCTATGTGCCACCTTCCATACAGTCACGTTGAAAACCTAATTAACTGTAATTCAAACAATTCACTTTAAACAACTAAATTAAAAACATTAAATTTACAATTAAATTAAAACCATTAAACCATTAAATTTAAGTAAATTAAGTCAATAAAACAACTAGAGCAAACCAATTAAACAATTAAATTCAATTACAGCAATTAAATCAATTAATTTAAAACAAGTAACAAATCCATTAAATTAATTAAATTAAGATAAGTAATAAATCCATTAAATCAGTTAAATCAAACCAAGGAAATAATCAAACGCAATTTAAATAATAAATTAAATACCATGACTATCCTTTTGAAATTAGGGGTATTACAGTAATTGGTATACCACCTCGACCCTACTCCGATAGACAAAGTATTAATTCTGCCTCGCGTACTCCGTTTAATTGCGGGGCGGGGCGGGTTTTGCCACTTTTATTATGTTGTTAAAAAAAAAAAAAAAAACTAGCCCAATGTCCTCAAATTGGGCTAATAATTAAGCTAGCCCAGCTTTTAAATTTCTAAGTATTAAATATTCATATATTAATTGACACTTTTAGCAAAGTAACAAGGGTCTTAAAAATATTTAAAATATATTTTATATATAAAAAAAAATTAAAGGTACATATATAATCGGGGGCAGGTTCATCATTAAATCCTCCCCCAACCTGCTTCATGTTTTTAATTATTTTACCATACCTACCCCCAACCCATTTAGGGGCGGAGCGGAAATCTGCCAGGTCGAGGGAAATTGCCATCCCTAGATCAAAGTCCGGTTGTTAAATGGCTTTTTGATTTGGTAGAACCCCTGAATTGGCCCTCTCGTGGATTTTGGATTTGTGGGTCCTGAAAATTTGTTAGACCGTAACCCAAGGCTTTGATAGAGTCGTGCAAGGTTCGTGATGTAGACACGGAGAGGGGATGAATGGGTCTTATTGGTTGGATTAACAGAAATTTAAATTCGAATTGTTACTAGAATTTAAAATCCCATCTATCCATCATTCAAATCACGCAATCAACATGTAAAGCCGTTAATAATAGATACAAAGATTTGTACATGGAAAACCCAACCGAAAAAACTATGGGACATAGTCCAGGGCCTCCAGGCAATCCTAATCCATTGCGAGAGAGAAGTATTACGACCTAGGTTCACAGTTTCCTAAAACCTTGGAAACCCCTAGTTACCTCTTGGCACAGATCATCCAACAAACTCTCCTTAAGTCTCCAGTCATACGATCCGCTCTTTAGCAGATTTTGCTTCTCGCAAATCTGTTTCCTGCATCAGTGATTCAGTCATAGCCATTAGTTGTCCGATTCAAAATCTGTTATGGATCGACTTTGACGTTGAACTCTTAAGAATAACACTGCAATGATAGATGTTAAAACACTAAAAATACACTCGACAATGCTAATGCAAGAATGATGAATGCAAATAAAACTAGATGCAATTATGGAACTCACAAATATTCTCTTTCTATGTGCTCTAGATAGGTATTCTCAGGTTAATTGTATTTTGCCTAAGAGAAGCGTATTTACAGGCAAAATAGAGTTATGTAGAGAGTAGAGTTTTCGATGTTTTAAAATGAAAAGGAAATTGAATTTCTGCTCTGCTCGATTGATACAACTCCAGTGGCCCTCAATCGATAACTCCATGGGTCAAAATCTACAGCAGTTTTTGTACTAAGAAAATTTTAGAATGGAAGATTTTAAAAACACTTATATGCATATTAAATAGGATATTCTGAATTAAATCAAATATTGTATAATTAAAAATCCTGAAGAATGTATGCGTGAACTCTAATATGGCCAGTGCATCCATGTGTCAAATTACCTTTTTATCCTTGGTATAGAAGATTACACATTTACCTTGTTTGTAAATCAATTTCATCTTCAACCATGAGTAAGAGGTAGCAATGAACACTAACCAACTTTTGGATTTTTCACTTATAAAAAAAAAAAATAAACCTACTTTTGAATTTTTTAACTAAAATAAAAATAAAAAACAAGGGTTAATTTCACAAATCTCATATGGAGACAGCTTTCGAAAATAACTCTCACTCACATTACAAATGTTTGATCCGTTTTTCACTCACACCCCAAACGTCACTTTTGAATGGTGTCAGACTACTTTTCACATGTAAAATTACATTTCTACCCATTTGACTTTGTATTTGACTTACCTAAAGGTTGTTTCATATATAAAATGACTTAAATACCCCTAAGATCCATTTTAAATGTCCAAAATATCAAAAAATTGAATCCATTGATAAATTTGATAATTTGCACTACAAACATACTGAATATGTATATAAATGCACAAAACTATAACCAAGTACAAATTAATTATATATATATATAATCAACTAGTAATGAAAGAGCAACAAAGTAATCAACCTTAAGCTAGCAATGAAGGATCAACAAAGTAATCAACCTTTGGGCCAACAAGATAGCAAAAGGATAGGTGATTGTAAAGAGAATATTGCACTGGCCTGGTAGCAGTTTTGGGTTTTGAGCACCTTTTGGTATGTTCTGATTCAAGAGGGTGACTTGCGGCCATCCGTATGCAATACATTGACGATGTATATATACAATTCTTGAGAGAGATCAATGTTAAAGGTGTGTTAGAGTTTTATAGTTGTGGTTAGGAAGGGTGAGTCTGTGAAAGAGAGACAAAGGTGAGTTAGTGAGATGGCCTGAGAGAGAAAGGTGAAGTCAAGAGAGAGAGGGAGAGTTGTAGGTCAGAGTAATTAATGAGGGTGGTTTAGTCATTTTAGATTTCTGATACTTTGAATTAAAATACAATAAATAAATGAGGGTAAAAATGTCCATTCATATTTTATTAATGGTGTTAGAGACGGAAAAGTGATTTGGGGTCTAAGTGATACTTATTTTCGAAAAATGTTTTCATGTGAGATTTGGCCAAACCTCAAGGGGTGTCGTTGAAATTAACCTTAAAAACAAAAGTTACATGACTAGCGTTTTTTCTATGAAATTTGTCAACCTTAGTCGTATTGACCTAAAAGGTTTAATAGACTGCGTCTTGAAATTGGAATGGTAATGGAAATTGATATTGAATAACTCTATTAATTTATTAATAAAATTGAAATATAAAAATATATATATATATATTTTTCCTTGTTGGTACTCACACACACTTGTCTCTTTTGAGACTTGAACCCCTGACTTCCCTTTGAGAGGTAAGAAGCTGATACCGCTAGGCCACTGCCCGTTGGTGAAATAATAAAATTGAAATATAAAAATATTGTCATTTCACTAAGGTGGCAGTGAATAACAATATTGTCATTTATTCACTAAGGCAGCAGTTTGAAATTCTTAAAGAGTGGTTGTTTTTATTATTATTCTTTTATGGGAAAATTTAATAAATAACTACTTATTTTTTTGGTCTTACAAATATGACTGTATCCAAATAGTATATGGGTGAAAGAGCCAATAAACTAAAGTAATTACCAAACAAGGAATTATACTATCAGAATTTGTCAAATAAAATAAAATTTTAAAATTCCACCAAACCACCCCACAACCCTCGACCACCACCCACCACTTTAACCCCCTTCTTGATCTCTGTCTCTCTCTAGCCCTCATTGCAACCGTCAGCCCTAAACCCCTCCATCCCCACCGTCCAACACCACCAATCACAACCCACCACCCACCCAAGCCCGGTGAATAAATGCAAATTTATTCCATTGAATCAGTTTGCATTCCATTGAATCAGTTTGTATAGTGGTGGATTAACAATAAGCCCCAAATTGAGGAAGAATTACAGGCTGCTTTGGAACAACTAAAAAGACTAAAATCTTCACCTCCATCCCCACCGTCCACCACCGCACGATTCAACTCTGACAAACCCACCACCACTTCAATTTGCTCTACACTTTCATCACTCTCATCATATGTCACATGGTCTTGTTCTCTGCCAATTTTTTATCCTTTTTTTTAATTTCTCTCTCCACCCAACCTCCAAATCATACCCCTCTACCAATTTTCAACTTCAGAGAGAGAAAAATCGATGGAAATTTTGAAGAAAAATTCCACAAACGATGAGATCCGGAAATAAAAGAGAAAACCACATTTGGGTATCAACGCTCTTGGCTGTGGAGAGAGGCTGTTTCATTGTCGCTGGCATGGTGGAGCTGCGGTGATGGTGGTTGTTGACTGTACCTCTTATTGTTTCTCTTTTCTTCTGATTTAAGAAGAAAGGAGGAGGAGGAGGAACCAGAATTCTTGCAATTCTATATCGGAATCAATTAAGTATGTGAAGGTAATGGTGAATATGTGACTGTATGGTCTTGTTCTTTGCTTATTTTATTATTTTATTTTATTTTTTCTCTCTCTACCAACCCCCAAATCAAACCCCTCTACTATCTTTTGGACAGAGTCTTATTTGTAAGGCATCCAACATAAGTTGTCATTTATTAAATTTTCCCTTCTTTTATTTATTCATTTATGTATATATATATATATTTTTATGTAGTTTGCCTCGTGTTTCTATCCTAGGCGTCTAGGAAGCAACAACACTTTTGCAAATGAGCTATATCCGTGTCGGATACCGTACTTCATGGACTCCTTGGAGAGTGTCCAACACTTCATGGATGTGTCTCTAATTCAGAAATAAAAAATAGTTTCTTGGACACTTAGCTGACACTTTGAGACAATTGGTCGACTTCACGGACACTTCCTGAACAAGGATCTTATATCACACACATAACTGATGTAGCAATGTTCGGCAATGTTGAAAATAATATGAACACATCTTAAAGTGCCCAACTGTTTTTCTTTAAGAAAAATTAACCTTATACACATGGTCATACTTTCATTTAGGACAAGCGCATAATTGTGACGACAAAGTAGTGGAATAGTATCATATATAGTATCATATGTGGATTATGATATAACGATCCTTACAATATATCACATAAATTCACATAAATTCATCTTCTAAATTACGTTAAAGTAACTTAGTATATAAATTAAAAAATAAAGTTTTATAATATGTAAATAAAAAAAATTATTTATAAATAGCGTGTCCATGCCATATCCATGTTCTACATCTTTAGGATTCAACGTGTCGACATGTTTGTGTCGTATCGTGTCTATGTGTATGCTACTTACTTCCGAGTAATAGATTTTCGGACAGCAAATTTCTGTGGTTCATGCGGGAATTAATAATGGCAGTGGCTAAAACATCATTCCTTGTGGTGTTGAACTGTTTAATATTTAGTTTTCTTCATCCCGGTTTGCCTTATTATATTGCTAGTTTTTAGAGTATTAGGTTGATCATTGATGCATGAGTATGCTAGATCTATTTTACTCCTTTTCTCAATTTACATATGGAAAATGTTCAGTAAGTCCTATTTCAAGTTTTTTGGGACTTATAAATTACAGGTTACTTCTGTTTACTTTTGTGTCTTACACTTTTGATGTGAACTTCTTTGTTAGAAATTTTTTCACTACAGTATGTGTTTCTCAGCTGATTTTCTTCGTATCTTTTTTTTTGTCTTGCAGTTTGTTTGGAATTACAAACTCCCCCTAAAGATGGTTGGCAGTGTCCATATTGTCGAGATAAATTCAGTCTTGGTAGAAAAGCTGTTGGAGAGTCCTCAAATATTGGAAAACCTATCATAGTACGGTTGACGCGACTCGTCAAAGCACCAGAAGCTGAAATTGGCGGTTGTGTTGTTTGCAGGTTGATTGCTATGACTTGCAGTTGTTTAGTTTTATTTCATTTTTAATTGGATGAGAACAATTCGATTTACAAGGTTTCGGCCTATCTCTCTCTTGTTTTTCTCTAATTTTATTTGTGCATTTCACTGCGCTCTCGTATTTGTTTATGGTGTTAGTTTGAGTTTCTTTACTTGTTCACTGCCGGTGGAGACACTCAACCCTGTGACTTCGAGATTAAAATATAAAGACACTTTTTCTTAATTGAATATTTTGTTTGTTTTGGCTATTTACAGACAAAGTAATTTTGGCTGCAGTATAACAATATGGTTGATTTGGTTACTTAGAAGTAATAGTTGTCAAGTGGAAGGGCACGGATGTAAGGAATTGGGATAGTTAATGTCACAGAAAAAGCAGAAGGCATTAGGGTCACTGGAGATAGACAAAATTGAAATATTTATGGGAGTGACTGTATCGATGCTATGCGTAGACGTTGTCATATGAATTCTCTGGCTACCATGTGCTAATCTGCAAATTGGTAGCAAAAGGGCCTCTAGTCTTGACAACGTCTAAAACTCCTTTGCTTTGTATTATTTCAGATACTCGATTTCGTTGGTTCAACACCATATATTACATGTTTACTTCCATGTATCTATGTTAGGTTAACTGATTTCCTTTTCTTTTTTACGTTCACCAGGGCTCATGATTTCAGTGTTGCTAAATTTGATGAGAGAACAGTTATGCTCTGTGATCAAGTAAGGCTCGCATTTCTCTTCCATGTTTGCTCTGAATTCTATTTGTGGATTCTTACTCTTCTTCCTTGTTAGTGTGAGAAGGAATACCATGTTGGTTGCTTGCGGGACAGTGGGCTTTGTGATTTAAAAGTAAGCTTCAGATGCTTTGTAATTCTGTGACCATATGATGCTTATTCTAGCACATATTAATGTTCCTTACAATTGGTGCAGGAACTCCCCAAGGATAAGTGGTTTTGTTGTGCTGATTGCAATAGGATCCATGTTGCTCTGCAGAATTTAGTTTTCAGTGGGGCTGAGATGATTCCGACATCTATATTGAATAAAATAAACAGGAAACATGTCGAGAAAGGATTAACTGAGGGAACTGTAAATGATGTTCAATGGCGAATTATGAGTGGGAAAAGTCGCTATCCAGAACATCTACCGCTGCTTTCTAGATCTGCTGCAATTTTTCGTGTAAGTTTTTGTTGATACAACGTTTTGTTTGTCTTCTTCCATTTATGTTGTCCTGCCAAAAGGTTTTAACATATGTAATAAAATTTTAAACAGCCTAATGATTTTCCTTTTTCTTTTCCCCTTTATTGCTTCATTGTGGTTGCTGCTTGTTACCTGTTTATTCTCTGATCAATTTTTTTTTTTTTTTTCAATTTTCGTATTTCATACTTGTTTGCATTCTCTCTTGAAGAGCATGCAATTTTATTTTTTTGTTTAAATGATATTGTAAGCAGCCTGTAAGATTTTATTCTTGATCTACGTCCTGCATTCATTTTCACATGACAATTTTCATGCTTTTCTGGTGTTTTTCATTCATTTGTACCCTATTTTCTTTTGGATATATGACATCCATATTTTTATTGACTTTATCTTATTCTCTGATGTCATGGGCATTTTTTCATTTAACACTGATGTTACATAAATTGCTACTTTTGAAACGATTGATACATACTGAAATTTAAAGTAATTTCAATAATTCAACAGAGTCCAATAATTTAATAATTCAATAGAGTCCAAGATTGGAATGGAAGTTGGAAATTTGTTTGATGTAGAGGTCCTAGAGGAGATTGATCGGTTTGTGGCATTTTTATATATACTGAAGTTCTTAGTGTTATTCTTCCTATATGCAACTTATAAAATGGATTCCATGGGAGGATGGACTCTATTGAATTATTTAATTCTGAGAAAATGTTGCCTTCCATTTTTTATGGCTTTTCTCTTTGCTGTATATTTGATGCCCGGACAACAGTTTTATGAAGATATTCTTTGTTTCTATTGTATGTTTTCCTTAAGTATTTTTATGTTAAAACCTAATTATATGACATCTATTGGCAGGAGTGTTTTGATCCTATTGTCGCAAGATCTGGTCGTGATCTCATACCTGTTATGGTATATGGGTAAGTTAAGATTTGCTTATTGTAGCTATTCTTGTTAAGTGTATATTTGCCAATTCCGAGAATTGAGACTATAAAGAAGCAAATTAGCTCAACTGGCTTTGTTTGAAAATGAAAATTAAACATGTATTGAAGCTCCACTCAGGAATGACGGAACCTTTATTAAGCTTCATTATTTTTTTGGTAATCTAATCAAATAAGGAATGTTTTGATGCAGATTTTCTCAGCAATGTCCTCCCACACCTTATTTATTTATTTATTCAAAATGTGGGACAAACTAATGGAAATGATTGAGCCATTCAGTGACTTTCGCAGTCTCCCTCACTGAACTGACTTTAAATCTGATATTCTTCTCGTTTAGGGTTAATATAGGGGCTATTACTTTGTGAAATGGTGAAAGCTTGGCTGACAAGTGTGGTAACATGGTTAATGGCCTTCTTTATTCTAAAAAAGGAAAAGATTAGTGTAGTATGCCTTCTTTATTGTTTAATTGCTTCTAAATTTTCAAGATAAGTTGCCTATCATTCTTTGGAACCCCTTGGCAGGCCCATCAACAATAAACACTTGTTTTAAATCCATGTAGTCCTGTACATATGATATTGTGATACTGTTTGGTGTTATTGGTTTTGGAGTGTCATTTGAGCTGTATGCTAAAGCATTTGGGCTTCTGAAGCTCATAAATACACTTTATACGTGCATGCATGATTAAAGTACATGGGAAGGTTGACTTGTTCCTACATGAATGTGCTTGTTAAAGGATTAGAACCTGATTCCTAGTAAAAGAAGGACGAAAATCCAATTAAGTACTTTCATGCATTTACACTGTCCCATTGATGACCCATTTGTTTTATCCTTGCCGTACTCCATATTTGTATTCCAACCTGTCCACACATGTCATTTCTTGTTTTTCATGCAGGAGAAATATTTCTGGTCAAGAGTTTGGAGGAATGTATTGTGTTGTTTTAATTGTGAAGTAAGTTGAGTTTGCTTTTATTTGTTTAATCACTTCTTACTTGGTTTCATTGCACTGTTCTGTCACTATTTCATATCTTGGTCATTTCTTATGAGTGTTTGTCCAAATGTATGTACAGGTCAGTTGTTGTGTCCGCTGGTCTTCTCAGGATTTTTGGACGGGGGGTTGCCGAGCTTCCTATTGTGGCTACAAGCAGAGAAAATCAAGGAAAAGTAAGGGTTTTGTTGTTTAGCAGTTATGTGTTCTTACGTAGATTTTAGTAGATACTACAGTGATGGCAATGAACCTGAAAAAATCGGTAACATGTCCTGGAACTATTTGGACAGGTTCTTGAATGGGCTTAGGAAATTTGCCAGCCCTGCTCTAATTATGTAGTAATATTACAAAATTTTCCGCATGCTATTTTAATTTCCCATGCTGCCCTTAATATCTTAAAAAATAAGATTTGGGGGTCTCAATCTCCTTGCCCATGCTCCTTGTCACCATCACCAAATAAAAGTTGAAGCCTACTATTGATGTCAAACATAAGTCTCCTTCCTCCCACCCCCAGCCCTCACATGCCATTGCGGGTTTGTTCTAATCTTTGTACCAAAATTTCCCCACTATCTCATATTATTTGACAGTGTTCCTTTAGTTTTAAATTGCAAAAGATATTTTTAGAATTTTCATATCAGCTCTGTATAATTTTTTTTAAAAAGCATTTCAATTTCAGATCTGAGAGTGCTGTGGGGTGGGGCGGGGCAGGGCGGGGCAGGGCAGGGGAGAAAGAACTTCAGGTCTGGGGATGGTAAATTGTAACCTAATTCGGGTACTAGACAGGGAGAGAGTGGGTGTTTTCTCTGGCCGGGTAGGGGGTTCCGTCCTTTAGCCATGCAGTTTTCATCCGTGTTTGTGTCTTGTATGTGAAACGGGTGTGAAATACCATATTTCCTTTAGTATGGTATAAGCCTTGAAATCTTGTTTTGTTAATTTTTTATTTTTAATTTTTGGGCAGGGTTATTTCCAAGCACTATTTTTATGTATTGAGAGATTACTGTATTCTCTAAATGTTGAAAACCTGGTGCTCCCGGCTGCTGAGGATGCTGAATCTATCTGGACAAAGAAACTGGGCTTCAGAAAGATGAGTGATGAACGGGTAAGTGCCAATCTATAACTCAGTCTATGGAACGAAATATTTCCTTTACAGGTTTCTATATCAAACTGGTAAATTTTTTGTTTGCTGCATTGGGTTTTAACAATAAAACTACAGTGCAAATGAGTTTTGAGATATGTATGATGCTCGGGGGCTGGCTCCACAAATTAGATGTGTCTGCAAAGTTGATGTGTTGTATATAATTGAGTCCACCTTATATTTTGTGGTAGGACATTTTGTTGCCATTGTAGAAACGCCTAATGGACGAATTAAAATCTTACGTTTTCAAACTATGTAGGAACTTTCTGTTGTAATTTTTTTCAGTGAACAATTTCTTCTGATGACCATATCCCGCCTTTTTAAGTTCCGCATTCTTTCTAAAATTGATTATAAAATTTTTCTATGCACTACTACCACCTGTGAAGCAACTGAATGATCCCCTGGGAGTAATTTTTATTAGGATGTTGTGTTATAAGGTGGTAGAGAGCAACCATGCTATAAGTAATAAGATGGCTATAATACATCTCTAATGGTAGCTATGATTTGCGTGACAAAGTGTTAAGAGTAAGTTGATAAGTGGATGTTGAGATGGCTGTGTGGTGAGGCATAATAATATAAAATTAGGAATGAGCATATCCGTAACAAGCCGTATTTAACAGTAATTGTACATAAAAGGAGAGGAAAGTGGCTTAAGACTGTTTGGACATGTGCAATGAAGACTAGTATGCTGTGATTAAAGCAGTGAAGTAGAGTGACATGGTTGATTTGAGGGTGTAGCTAGGACAAGAGAAAGAACTAATTGATGTGAGAAGAGGTGGTAAGAACAGGGACAATGGCATATGGTGGTCTAATAAATTTCAGGGACCTAGACTTATCAAAAAAAAAAAAAAAAATTTCAGGGACCTAGATAGAGTTGAATGAGAGAACTATTTATGTAGTTGACCCAATATTTTTAAGGAAGCTTTTTAGATGATCTGTACCAAGTTTCTCATTATTCTAACTCATTGAGAACCATTTAATGCATGCTCTAAAATCATAATCATCATCTTTACCTTTATCCCATATGAATGCATTCGGTCACATGCCCTAATATATCATTGTAAATATAAGCAAGCGTGAGAAAGCAATACATAATATCATCCAACGAAATCAACAATTTAAGGAGAAGCTATGCATGTCATGCAATGAGACAGTAATATCTTGAGAGGTGTGGTAATATAGTATATCTCCACAAGATGGTTCCCACAGTTTAGTGCTTTAGATGGAGGACTTGCTTTTCTCAAAGCACAAAAACTCCCTATAGTATTTCCGCTGGGCAATCATTAGAGATTAGTACACTAGGTCAAGGAGAAAGGATTTTATTACGCCACTTGAGGCAGTGGTTCAGTCTGTCTCCAGCGTTTTCCTCCCAGCACCCACATTCATATGCTGCTGAGTAATGCACTTTCACCCAAAGCACCTGAACAACTTTTTATTATAAAGGGTAAATACGCTACAGATATCTGTTGATTCAGTAGTAAGTAACAATGGCATTTTAAGTTCTTATTAGGATGAGAGAAATACAAGAACAGATATGTCTTAACCTGACTATAACTATATTATGGTTTGGAAACCATAAATTTGGACAATATTTTGTTGAGGTTTGAAGTATGAAAAGAGTAGCAGAGGAACATCGATATTATGCACTTGATTTCCAGCTACCTAATATATTTATACTTGTGTAATTATTGTCATCATTATCAACACATTTTGTTGTTATCTTTGTTATTTTGATTTGCAGTGAAGATATTAATTTTGGATTTTGATCTTAATACCTATTATTTCACTTCTCAAAATTATGTAATGGAGACGGCTTTTCTTTTTATGACTATTCATTGTTGGCGTGGTACCTCTCTGTCCTACCCATGATGTAGGCAGAGAGGGTGTTGAATAAATTCTAACGATAATGAATATATTCTGCCAAGCAGTTGTTAAAGTATACAAAGGACTTCCAGCTGACGATTTTCAAGGGCACATCGATGTTAGAAAAGGAGGTTCAGAATATACCAGATTAATGTCATGCTTCATCATTCCACTGGATTTAGTCAGAGATGTGGAAATTAGATTTTTTATTTTTTATTTTTCTTAATTTATCCTGTAATATCTTTGCTATGTCTTTCTTTGGCCATCATAAAGCAATGCGATTGTAGTGCCTTGTTCATGTATAAGCTAGGAAGGTGAGGCAACGAATGTTTGTCAGAAGGAGAGGTGCATGCTGACCTTTTAATATGCGTGCATGAGGTTTTGTTGTTGTTGTTGTTGTTGTTTTTTTTTTTTTTCTCTCTTCTTCCTTGGTTATGTTTTTCATTAACCATAAAGCACAGCTAAAAAACTTATTGTCTTAAAAGTGTGTGAACTTTGTAATACGTCGTATTTCCAGCCTACGGGGGACCTGTCTTGACTGTGTATTTGTTTGGTGAAATCGGTGCTCGGTTTCCCTTTTTGTACATGATTTGGATCCGATTGTTGAAATAGAGCATCATAGAGGTTGGCATAGTAGAACCAAGTTGTTAGTCTCTTGTGGATTCTTTTAGAATATAATTTGGTTAAAGTTTCAGTTGTGTAGGGTGGGGTAATGGGATTGTGACTTTTCTTAATTTGTGACCTGGTGTTAGGTGAATCATTCGAGTTGGGGCGACACATTCTGGAGGTGAAGTTTAACTTAGATTCAACGGATTATAAAACTTCATTGATGACTAGGATCTTTTATTTTTTGCGATACATAATCCTGTATAAAAATGCATGAAATGACGAATTGATGAGTCGACACAGAAATAGAGAAAAAACGATAGAAATTCATGAATTGATGTCTTGATGAGTCCGCATGTTCCTGCAATAACGTAGGAAGTGGCACAAAACAAATCAATCTTATTTTGCTTTACTTTTTGAACAATGATATGAAATAAATAAATAAATATATATACATATAACTGAATAATAAATTATTATTTTATGCATGAGGTAAATCAGTTACTCGGTAATTGTTGTATGGTAGTCATTGTCCAGTGTCATACCAGCATGTTTTGTGCAAACAAAGATAATAGGTTACTCTAGCTCCTTCTCTTGCCAAGAGAATGGAAGTTCTTTTACAATTTTTCCTTCTCTCCAAGGGTTTTTTTTTTGTGCAACAAAATGAGTTCATAGGTCTATGTATAGTAATTCTTACCAAATCAATGTTAACAGGATAACAGAGTATAATATGCATTTGGTGCCCTTAGTTCGTCCCCTGTCCGGCCACCTCTCTACCCTGAACACCCTCAACCTCTCACGTGAGTTAAGCGATCTATGAAAAGAAATCATTTGGGGATGAATTAAGAGAATAACCACAGATTTTGGTTTATGAATTTTGTAACACTTATCTAGTCATGTGATACATAGTAACTGCATGAACCATTGTTTAGGAGCTTCCCCTTTAACTGACACACGTATTATTAGGGATAGGGTCCAATGTCACCATCTGAAAAAATGAATTCCAACAAAAGAATAGAGAGCTCTTAGAAAAGAAAAGGTTAACTTTATGGTGTAATGGCAATTTAATGCAGTTGCTGGAGAATTTAGCCTGAACACGCAGACGTACAAGAAGACGAGACTCCACCATTCCACAACATTATAAACTAACAATTATGTAAGAAGAATTGTGTAGGCCTGTAGTATTTATCTGGGATACTCTAGAATTATGTAAACACTCTTCTAAATATATCGAGTATTTTAGGACTCAATTTTAAATTTATCTCGACGCTTGTAAATATTTTGGCTATAAATAAGGGTTGGAGATGATTCTTTTCCCAACCAACAACTCTTAACAACCACTAGAATGTAAATGCCTATGAGGAATACGAATAATGTGTGAGGAGGATAATTTAAAATTGGTCTTCATTATAGTATTCATCGATTTAAGTGAAGGGGATTGGAGTGTGGGGACGGAGGGGCGTGATGATTATGATATTGATGCAGAAACGTGTAGCTAGCAGGAAGTGACCATGAGAGAGGAGTGTAAGTACAAGACTACTATTGCTGCAAGATTATATTGCACATAGTTTGGTTTATTCTTGTCACACCATTAGATGGTTTAGGTAGATGAGCGGAGTTGCTGAGCCAAGTAGCAGTGAAGTGAGAAAGAATGATCAAAAGTCGATCGGAGAGAGACAAAAGCCAGAAGGAAAAGCTTCTCGCTGACTGGAGCGAGCAACGAGACATGAGCAACAACCTGTATACGAAGAAACTTGCATTAATGTTTATTGGTTAGTATGTAAGAGTATAAAATTTTGGAAGGATCAACAAAGTAAAAAAATTTTTCTTTTTTTTTTCTCCCATGATAAGAAACACGGATCACTCACAGGCTTAATTTGTATATCATTAAAAAAAAAAACAATTTGTGATGTCTAATTACTTAAATAATATACATAAGATCTAAATCATAATTTATTACAAAGTAAATTATAATAATTGTAATGTTATTTGAAACAGGTTAGACAAATAATAGCAGTATAATACTAATATAATATCATAAATAGACAGATAAATATAGATATATTTCATGGTTGATTCGAATTGATTTGATTTTTTTATTTCTTAGACCTCGAATCTAGGGGTGGGTTTGAACAGGTTTTGGGAGAGTTTGAAATGGATTGGATATGAATGAGTCACAAATCTATTTTCAACTTATCAATAGTTGATCGTAAATGAATTAGAGCTCAAATGGACGGGTCAAAATGGGTTAACCCATTCCAATCAAGTTTTTTTTTTTATACAATTTTTTTCTTTTCTTTTTTCTTTTGGAAAAAGTTACTATGCAACTTAATAAACAATATTAATTAATTTTTTAATTTCAAGAGTTACAATTTTTTATTTTTTATTTATTTTAGAAAAAGTCACCATACAACTAACTCAACAATATTAATTACATATATTTAAAAAAAAGGAGTTTTGAGCCAGAGTTTTAATTAATTATTAGTCATTTATTTTATACAATAAAACAAAATTTGAAGGAAGAGTGAAGAGAGATAACGCAAGAAAAAAAAAAAAAAAGAAGCAGCGAGGTGAGAGAATGCATGGGAAAAAATGAAAAGAAAAGAAGCAGGGAGGAGAGGAAAGAGAAAAGAGAGAGAAAGAGAAGAGAGAGGAATGGAGGAGAAAAAAAAAAATGTCAAAAAAAATAGAAAGATAAAAAGAGAAGGGGAGGAGGAGATGGAAGGGAGAGAAATGGAGGAGAAATAAAAGAAAGTTTTATTTGAGGGGGTAAAATGAGTATCCATTCTTAATTCATCATGGACTATTAGATTGTATGAGTATTCACTTTTTACTTATTGTTATTCATTCACTTATATTTAGGTGTCTAAATAATTTAATTTTAGTGGGCGAATTTAGTCAGTTTAATGAGTTTGAACTTAAATTGCCACCTATACCCGAATCCAACTTATCTTAACAATTCTATTATTTTAAAAATCAGGAATGAATTTGATTTGAATTTATGTGTACTCTTGGAAGCGGGCTATAGATATGATCATAAGACATAAGTTAAAAGTTCTAAGCATTATTTTTCTTCAATTTAGTTAATCTTGAAGTATGAATTTTTTTTTTTTTTTTTCTTTCCCAAATTAATGACTCATATTGTGCCAAATCACTCTTTATATAAAGGATGCTTGAGACAGCGTAGCATTCGTGAATATGTTACCTCTACCTGGGAAAATAGTAATAAAATTACAAATGGGTATATGCTTTCTAACACATTAAATTTGGCTGATATGATATAGATAGATATAAATATGTTCAACACAGATTTAATAGTATGGAAAAATTAGACAACACAGTAACAGATAAAAATTACAGCAGAGGATCCACACTCAAATTACAAAATATCACAGAAAATCATAATTTATTAATTATTATTATTATTATTTTTTGTTTTCAAGAAAATTTCCGATTTGATTGAAAACGGAGGAAGGAGATGAGAACCATCGAAAATGGGTTTCACCGTTTCTGTGGATAGGCTTCGAATCCATCTCATCATCTAAAAGAATTAGTCATTAAGTTCATCCGACGGTTCAGAGGGTTGAGGTGCACGTAATACCTCATGCTCATGCTCATGCTCTTACCATATCATACATTTCGCTAAACATCGACTTATGTTTTTAATTTTTTCAGCGCTTTACTAGGGTTTTGATCTTCAAAATCACAAGCCTCTAAAACCATAACCACTCCTTCCTTATTAGCTGCTACAGAGTTGAATTCATCGATTCTGATTTGATGGCGTTTTCCTCTGCTTTTCGTCGCGTTCTCAACGGATCTTCGACCCCGTCTTCCATTTTCCATTCCCAATTTCGTCTCAATTCAACACTCACAACCCCAAAGCTCTTCGTCAGTGGTAAGATTATTCAAATCACTGTATGTATGTTTATATATATATATATATATATATATATATGGGTTATGTTTATGTTAAATTATTCATGCCTTTGTTAGGTTAAGGTTTCTCTTTTTGTTTCAGTTCATACTTTTTAAAGCTTTAATTCCTGATGGGATTATATATATTTTTATTTATAACTGGTTAATGCTTCGTTGAAGGGTGGAAAATGTGCACTACTAGTTTATTTTCGATCTGCCTCGTTTAGATTTTGTTACGATTTTTTATGAATATTTATGATTGATTTTATGTTGCTTTGAAGCATGGAAAAGTGAGTGTCCTTTTCCCTTTTGCTTGGTTGAGTGGAATTGTGTAATGCAGTAGAAGGGGGTGATTGATACCTTTCATTGTTTTGTAAGAGAGAAGGGATGGTGATGTTTATATTTCTTTTTACCATTACATCCCAAAAATATAATTTGGCAAAAACATGTCACTCTACATTATATACCCTAGCTATCCCTGTAGTCGAGCATCGGGTTGATGGATAGCCAGCCCAATCTGAATCTTATTGGGCATAAAGGCACAAACTACTGGTCCGAAGAATTCTGAGCCCAAGTTCTCCTTCTTCCTCTCTTTCCTCCAATTCTTGAGGGGTGAAAAATTGTGGTACATGAGGATTGCTTCAACCCATCCTTGCATTCTCTCTAATTATCACTTGTAACAAACTATGGCCATTGTTTCATCCACCCATCCTTGCTCCTATTGTGTGACTAGTAACTAACCGTTAGGCCTTTACTTATTTGCTGATGAAACAAGTAGGTATTGTGCTGTTTATCATACCAACAATGTTAGTGGAACAATTTCCAATTTTAGCAGCATGTGTAAAGATCCGAAGTTGCTTCACTTGCTTGGTAAGGTAATTTTTCAGATGCAACCATTATTGACCCTTGTCATGTATAGGAATATTTTGTGAATTTCTTTCAATTTGTATCTGTGGCTCAGTCGTTAGGTGCAACTTTCCTTACTGCAGTGTTGTTAAAGGTGCGCCTAAGCTCCAGGCATGCCTGTTGTGTGCCCAGTGCGCCTTTGACAACATTTGCGCCTTTAACATAGAATATGAATATGCTTTTATAGTAATTTAATTTTTCGCCTTGTCTTGCGCCTTGTGCCTAGGCTCCAAAGGACCTCTAGTGCCTTAGTGCGCCTTGGGCCTTTGATAACACTACTTCACTATAGAAAGAAAAAAGGGAAAATAAGCATGTGGCCTAATTGCAATGCTGTAATTTGAGGGATATAATATCTAAGTGAATAAAGCTTTGGATGATGGATCTAGTCATTATTTTGGGATAGATACAGAATGGAAAATGATAGTAGTTTAAGTGGCCAGTAAATCCTTGAACTGCTTGTGTGTGTGTGTGTGCCTGTGTTGGCACTCATTGTCTCATGGAAATGCCAAAAGAAAAAAGAAAAGGCTAAAGTTCTGTTTGACACATACCTCACCACTTCCTCTTAACACAAACCTGACCAGGTTCAATGTATAAGGCTTTACCTTTTTGGATTTCTTTCTTTTTCAGTGTGTGTCATCAACTGGCCTACTTCTCTTAGGTTGTACCTACTTCTCTTAACATGTATGAGAAGCGTGAAGGTCAGTATAAATAATAGGATGATGGACAGTTGTCTTAACAATTAAATAAGAAATAGTAGACACTATGTCATGTTTCCCTGGAGTTCCCCCTTTTACTTCAACTGATTTGATCTTTTGCATCTTTCATGGTAAGGGTTTTTCCTTTTTCTATTTTCTCCTCCTGAAGGATAATTGATACCAATTATTTGTGAATGTTGATGCAGGCCTCTCGAGGTTAACGACGGATGAAAAGCTTAAAGAAGCATTTTCACAATTTGGCCAGCTTGTTGAATGTTAGCATAATGACATATAGCTTTTGTTTTTATTCTTGTTATATCTCGCTTCATTGTTTCAGAACTTTTGGTTTAATCTTGATCTCTCAGTAAGCACAGTAAATAAATGATGTGTCCTAATCTGATGTTCCAATGATTTTGCAGCAAAAGTCATTGTAGATAGAGCGTCTGGAAGATCAAAAGGGTTTGGTTTTGTTACGTATGCAAACATAGAGGAAGCTGAGAAGGCTAAAGAAGGAATGAATGCTAAGTACTTGGATGGGTGGGTTATCTTTGTCGACCCCGCTAAACCAAGGGAACCTAGACCCCCGCCACCTCAAACAGAGCCACAGTCTTCTGATCTTGGGTTCAGAACCAACAAGACTGTCGGTTGGTGCGGGTGATTGCATGAAGAAACGTGAAGATGCATCTTCTGGAGGTCCCTGATAAATAAGTTAAAAGGTTATGTTTCTAAAAATGCACGTTGATGGACCATTTGCTAATTTATTTGTGACAATATCAATTCATTTATGGTGTAGATCACCATTGAATTTATGTTATTTTAAATTGTACTAAAACTTTGTTGTGTAAGAACTAAGAACTATATTAACTATGGGTTTATACTATTTGGAGTTGTTTGTGCATGGATTTCTTCTATATAGCAAAAATGAAGGAAACATTTGCACTCCGTTGTATTGAAGCAGGAGGAACAAGTTTAACCTTTAATGAAGAGCTCAGTATGTGTCAGGTCTTAATTATACATGCTTGAACGGTGCATTGTGAATTAAACTAATCTAGTCATATACTTATGCGCTTTAGGTTCCAATCTTTGGGTTGTTTTTTCCAACAATATTGTCTGCGTCTGTTCATGTTATCAAAGGCAGTGGAGATGTCAAATGATGAAAACGGTTGCGTATATTAGAGGCTCATACATGAATCATGATGTTAAGAGAACGGTTTTAAATCAAAACTTAGAGTGAAGGGGGAAGAAGGGTTCTTGTTAATTCTGATATTAGAGGCTCAAATCTAAGTTTGTGTGTAAATTTAGTAGTGTTGGTACATTGAGAAAATGGTGTAAAATCGACTTGCCACAATGCGCGTCAATTACTTTTGGAGTCATGAGCGAGTTCAGAGTCCTTCCTAGAAAACAAACTCAAAATCATATTAACATAAGCAAATCCACTTTCTTCTTTGAGCTTGAGGTTAAAAAATGTCAACCAAGCGTGTTAAGATTATATTTTTGGTGTACCGATTATATTTGGTCGTACACCAGAGAGAACTGCACATCAATCTACAATATAGTTAAGATTATTTTTTTAGTTGTACACCAGAGAGAACTGCACATCAATCTACAAAATACAGAAATAATTTGTGTAGTTAAACGCATAACATTTATAAAAGGAGAAGTTGCTATTTACGCGGCTATTATATGTCAAACAAACCCTTATATATGCTAGATGTATGACAGTATCGATGCAGCAATTATGACTATAGTAGAAAAGCACCATCCTTGAGAGAGTGTATATTAACATCTTTCAAGTTAAAAACAGCACGCACAGATGAGTTTAGAAGAGTACTATTTAAGTATTAACATAGCCAACGAAGAGAACTTTAAAAACCATTACTTATTTATCTACAACCGACTCTGGACAAAGATGACATACAAAAAAGACTGCATACTGGCTGCAAATAAAGGCTCAAGTAGCCTCTGCAACAGAGAGGTGCATTTTTGTGACCGATTCCTTAAGGAAGCTACTCCCGCAGTACGAATCGCGGCTACCAACATCAAAATCCAAGAGCTCAACGCAAGGCTCATTATATTTAATCAATCTGACATCATCGTCCGAAGTCTTGAAACCCTTGTTAGAACTACTACCGCTATACTTCCGAACATGCTTCTTATCTTTCCCTCGTTTAGATTTGCCCCCAACTTTCTGCCGGTTCTTTACACACTTCTTACTATCAGTCCTTTGCCTTTGTTTCTTGCTTGATGGCACATGTGACACTGATGTAGGAGGAGGATCATACACATCAGGGGCCCATGTTACAGTCAGCTTCTTCGATGGTATCCCATGTTTCTCACGGCTACCCTTCATTGCAGATACAGGCTTCAAAGGAGTCTGAGAGACATGAAAGAAAAGGAACAAAACAACGGTTAAAGAAAAGCATCAACCAAAATTTGGTTCAATAACCCCATAATCTCCCAACAGGGTCATCTTTTACATAAAATATAATAATCTGCTCCAGTTGTGTATAGCATGCATATACATTTCACCTGCAAATTTAGTAGGGATTATTTTTATAGCAAAAATACCCATAAGGGTTATAGCTTAAATCAGGCTAAAAACTATAATCCGATATCTTTTCATTTTAAAAAAATATAAATAAAAAATGCTCCATTTAAGTTCAAAAAGCATCACAATGAAACAAAGAAAATGAAAAACAAAAAATGTGCAATATGGTTACCTTGCCGACTTCAAATCCAGCAAACAAGTACTGACAAAATGTCACATCTGCTTGGACAATTAACATCAGCTAACTAAAAGGGCAATGTTTGACAATCTCACTCAACAATATCTTACTCCTAAAATCCGGCACAAGAAGAAACGAAATAGGGCTATTATAAAAATTAAGGCCCTTGTATACACATAAATGCTTCAAAGCAAATCTATCAAAAAAAAAAAGGATAAGAGCACAAGCAACCATGCACTCTTAAAGAAAGCATACATACCTCTTAGATGATGAAAACAAAAAAATAAATCCCATTAACAACTTTCCAGTAAAAGACACCGAGAAATTTAAGAATAAAAGCCCATTAACAACTTTCCAGTACCGCCTCTACTAATAACAACATGAGTATATAATTCTATAACACAGTAGGCTGTTAAGCAAGGCCTCAAAAAATTTTTAATTACTGATTAGATTGATGCAACTGGTATATTGATGTGACCAATCGGCTCTAGCCTAGATGGAATAAGCTCTCCAACCCCTTTGGGAAGATTGAGTGACCGAGCCCCGGTAGGGGCAAAAATATGTAGTGTGTTTGCTTGAACTTTTGGAAAAAAAAATAATAATAATAAAAAAAAAAAAAAAAAAAATTGGGATTGATGTAGATACATGACATAAGAAAATGAAACCAACTGTCTTAGATAGTAACCATCATCAAATTCACTTAATGGGTATCCAAGCAACAGCACACAATAATTTGGAAAATTAAGTAATAGCATCAATGAAACCCCCAACTTTCAAGGGAAACAAAGTGCAAACTTACAGGTAAGGATATGGGACGCCAGTCGCCTGGCTTAGCAGATTCATTATCAGTTTCCTTCAACATTGCAGCAGTTACCTCATCCAATTCATCTTCATCTTTTCTATCTGTAGATTCAGCAAAGGACATCATCTCTCCAGAACATGGAAATGTTGTACATTTGCACAAGCACTTGTCGGAAGTTATGATTGTTGATTTTGCATTACAAGACTCTTCACATATATCTTCCTTCTTCACCTTGAGAATATCAATTTTGTAAGAAGGTGACGACAAAATGGAGTTTGATGCCAATTTCTGATCATCTTGATTATGTAGAAACTCAGTTAGACCTTCACCAAGGTCATTCAGAGAAAGGTCTCCCGTGACACGTGTACATTGCAGTTGAGTAAGAGACAGTTGCTTCAAGTCTTCAATCTCATCTATACCTTCAGAAACTGATATATTCAGTGAACTGATGTCCATTGATAGCAAGCAGAAGCTGCAGGGAGAAACAGCCAAAGCACATTAAAAGGACCTAGAACACTAGTCAACTAAAGCCCCAAAGAAACGTACATATCTTTTTAACTTCTGTTACATAATTTTGATTTATAACATATTAATAATAATATCATTAACATGTTATATCATTATGTTTCAGGGATCTTCAGTTCGGTGAGGCCACAAGTGAGACAATTAATATGTTGAAAACAGCCCAAACTCAATAACAGGCTCAAACCAAAACCCAAACCAGAATCAAACTAATGAAAGCTTTGACCAGCCACCGACCACTCAGGCCTTGAGCCAACCAACACCAGGGTACAGCCCTAATTTAATTTTATTATAAACAACAATTGCAGTAAGCAAGCATGAAAGTTTTCCAAATTTAAGAGGTTGAAACAGAGAATTAGATAAGGTTTTCCACTTTTAGTAGGTCAAGTATAAATTACAAGGAAAAGAAATACTTCTGACACATTCTTTTTTCCTGAATTGATAATTTGCATTAAAGAAAATAGGGTAAACTGCAAGAGATTAAATGAAGTCGTACTGCTAACGAATTTACTCTTAAGTACTTAGATAGGTTCAAATTTTGGCTGACAACATAAGCATTTAAATTCTGGCTGACAACAGAAGCTGGTATATAATTAAAGAAAAGCTCCCCAGTATTGATAGGATAACTAATTCCAAACACAACTAAAATAAAATTTATAAAGGTCAAACAACTTTAACAGGGTGAGGTGCTAATGCGCACATGTAACACTAATCAAGAATACTGTCATCCATTCATCTTCAAAGAAGAGGCAAGAGTAAGAGAATTAACAGATTAGGGGGGTAGGGGGAAGTCCACCCAAAATGCTAAGAATTATCATAAGTAGAAACTGTGTACGGAAAGGTTCACATAATTCAGAAGAGCCTCCTCAAAGCAAACATCCACTACTTCACCCTACCGCATTCCTCCCCCAACTCCAATAAAATAAAATAAAAAATTTAAAAACGGGCCTTCCCAGATTATAAACATGGATATATTAAGAAAAACACCAATAGACCTGTGGCCTAGCGGTACAAGGCTCCTACTTTCCAAAGGAAGGTCAAAGATTCGAACCTCAGTGGAGGCAGTGTGTGTGAGTCTTAACTAGGGAAAAAAAAAATATATATATATATATATATATTAAGAAAAACTTGATACAGGTATCTATAAACTACGGTTATCATTTGACCAAACATGATTTAAATTCAGATAACTTGACAAGGGAGTGTAACCAACAATAGCATATAACAGCAGGGGAAACGAAGTCCTTTAAATCAATGGTTGAAGGATGCAAAGGACGGAAAAATGGGTGGAAGTGTCCTCTATTTTTGTTTGGTTGAGAAGTGAGTAAAAGTGACACAGTGACCTTTGGTAAGAGGGAAAGGAAGACAGTATTTTATATTCTCATTGACGAGGAGTAATAACGTTAATTCACATAATATACCATACTTATCATTCTCATTCTCTTTTCCTCTTGCGTTCAATGAAAAATGGTTGGCCAGGAGGGATGCCATCCATCCTTCCCGTCAACTTTCCCTTGTTACCAAAGGATGAAAACTTGTTTCATACCTCCTCTCTTCCTTCCTACTGCCTTCCTTGGTTCCTACCAAACACAACTTTAAAGAACCATAATAGATACTTCTTGCAAGTCTATATGATGATGAATCCAAAAGATTGTCAAATCTAAATAAGGGCATTAAAGCAAGAAAGACGCTTAAGGAAATCCACATGTACTGAACAGCGAAGTGCAAAGTAAGTGGAGCTAAGGATTCGTTCAGCATGTAATGTTTCCCAATACTACAAAGTATTTGGGACTCCTAATCCAAAATAAAAACATTAAGATCATTCTAGAAACCAAACATGTGTCAAGCATACTCCGGAAAAATTGAAAATAAAATCCTGAGGAGACCTCAGCAGGAACCTGAACAAGAAAAACTTGAACACACAATATGTGCTCCTACTCGATCAAATTAAGTCTTTAGCAAAGCAGAGACTTTTTCCAACTTCTCCATATATCAGTAAGAAATGTATCCCACTTTCACTAATTCCAGCACACAAACCCCTCTAACAGATTCTTATTAACCCGTCAACAAAAACCAAAGAGCATATGTTTATACCTCAGATGCATAATATAAGTACCAAGAGCTAACAAGGATGCAAATACATTCGCTACCAAAGCGAGTCTAGGCAATATTTAGAGGGGTGAAGCAGTATATAAAAGATATAGCCATCAAAAACCACCCAGTAGTTGAACAAGCAAAGATAGCAACTAGCAAGACTTGCAAAAGTTAAATAATAATAATAATAAACAGTACTTTCTCAGGGAAATAATTAAGGCATAACCAATCAAAAGGTTCTTTTAAAAAGCGAAAGTTAGCAATTGACTCTAGGGAAATAAAATTGTGTTCGATCCAGAACTTAGATAAGGCAGAATGTAAATATGATTTGCATTTGACAAATGATACAGCTAAAGAACACACATTTAAAAATGATCCCATTAATCCAAAAGCATCTACAGTTTAAAACATTGAATCTTTGAAACAGTCAACATTGTCATAATGCAATTAGCCCTGGATTTTATCATTTTCATTACCTAACAAATTATGCCTGAGTTATAGAGAAGGGGGGAAGAGGGTGGAAACAGTATATAAAAATTAAAGCGTCAACATATAAATATATATCATTATACATAAATACATGCACACACACACACACACATATATATATAAGAAAGTACCTTTTGAGAGACAAAAGCAAGAGCAACCAAACCCTCCAAACAATACGAAACTTGTGTGACCTTGCTAACGCAATCAATAACGAGAACACAATCCGCACTTGGCAATGGCTCGATTTCCCGATTCCTTAACAACTAGTACTTTAATTGATCTAACAGTACTCGTACTCGAGTAGATCGATAAAGAAAATTGAAAGACAGAACAAAATGTTTTAAAAAAGACACTAAAAAGGCCAAATAAAGCTTGATGTTAACTAAGATTACCACGACGATCACCCTTCTCGAGACGTTTCAAACGACTAGAGAACCAGCCATCATCGAGAGAGGAAAGATACGGAATAACACGACGAGTGAGAAATTCAAGAGAGGGCGCCGAAGGCATTGTTTCGATGCTCTTCGAAACCCTAAGAAATCGAAAACTAAACCAATACGCACACAAAAACCCCAACTCTAAGCAGAGCGATCGACGCACGCAACACCAAGAAAGCGAGTCGATTTCGCTAATAGAAGCGGAGAACACAACAAATCGAATTATATTAAGTCATCGTTAAGATCTGAACGCGATGATCGGCGTTGACAATCCCTTGTGACAAAACCCTAAAACCCGATATATTCGTGATGTTTGACGAACAAGAAGTGGATTATCGACAGACAGCACAGAACAGCAGCAAAATGATGATAAGGGCTATTTATGGTAAACGGCCTCTATTCGCACTCCCGTGTAAACCCATGGAACCCTATCATTTAATCCCAGTTTTGGGTGCAAATGACAGTTTTTGTTATAGACAGTAATACACTGGGAATAAAATTTTAGCAGTGTTGCTTGAACTTTGATAAATTACACTTACACCCTCTGATTAATGATAGTCATCTATTTGCCAAATTAAACAATCACACTCCAACCACCTCTAAAATAATATTAAATGTCTAAATTACCCCTCCAAACCATTGGTATAAGCTAAAAATTAAATAAATGTGTAGCAAATGCAAAAGAGAGAATCAACTTGCAATTTGGTCCCAACTCTTAAAAGCCTAATAAAAAACAACTCTCATTACACTACTCTAGAAAGGGCAAGAAAGATTAACCAATAGTTATTTCACAAAGCAATATTAACCAATTGTTTTTAGTTTTCTTTTTACCTGTTTGGGTAAATTACACGAACCAATTTTACATGAAATGCAGATTCTTTAGGTACCTGGAATGGGAATGAGTATGTCATGTGAACTATTTTGAATGTGTGAAATACCATGTCAAATAAATGACACCATGGTCGATGTTGTTGGGTATGTGTCGGAATGTCAGATTAGACACGATCATCGCAAGCATATCTGATAGTCAAATACGTTATAATTATTTATAAAATCATCGTATTGCATTACAACTACAAAATGAGTGAAAACAATCCGTCCATTAAACCATCTATATTACATAAAATGCCTTTTTAACCATAGAAAGTAAGAGTATAATACTAAAAGTTATAAATATTGATTGAAGGGTAGTTTGGTCATTTTGTTAAGTTGATATTTTGATCCAAAATATAATATTTTTATTGAGGGACAACTTAGACATTTCATATTATTTTAGAGGTGGTTGGGTGTGATTATTCAATTACAAAACTGGACTGTCATTGTGACACAGGAATTTTCACCTAGTTTAGGCTTTGAATCATGACTAAATACTTGATTTTTATATTGGAAGACTTATGTAATTAATGGGGTTTTTTGTACAATTTTAATGCAAGTTGGGGAGGTTTTAGAATTTAGAAAAGATTAGCGAGTGGATATTAGGTGGCAGCATCCTAATGAAATTGGGGGACGTGTCATAACTTTTCCATGCCTCGTTACCTTAATAACCATTTCCAACCCTAGTATCATAACTAAAATAAAGGGCCCTTTTCACATAGAGTGAGGATGAGAGCTAAGAAATAAAAAAAAGTAGAAAACTATTGATCATGCGTTATCATAGAGACTCTCAAGGGTGGGATTAAGATGCTCTCCATTTATACAGTAATTTATTTCTTTTATTTTTGTGAATGAACAGTACTTATCATGTTGGGTAAAAAAGTGTATTTACTGTATAGATTTTTCATCTACCTATTTAGGTGCACATAATTAGAATCACTATCAGAAGTCATTTTAGAACTCTCACCAACCTCACGATTACATTTTCGAATAAGAGAAAGATCAGGGATGGTTTTCATCTTTGGAACACGTACAATTTTCTGTTTCTCGATTGCTTTCTAACAAGCTATACTCTTCAACCTACCCATTTCAAATCCTAAATTTGATTTCCACCAACAGATTTAAAACTCAGATAACCTTAATTTCAGATCAAACCGCAAAAGCCCTCAGACCCAAGCCTCAAACACAGTAGCACATACCTTCCTATCTTCTTCATCTTCCCTTGTTCTTCGTTAAAAATCAAGTAAACAACAGCAATTCAATTCGGACGAGTTTATTTTCAGACCAACTTCGAAAACCCTAAAGTCTCAGTATCCGATTCTTCCTTCTTCTTTCTTCTGCCTCAAACCTTCTTCCTTCTTCTTCCTTTGTTCTTCATTTTTCGTTAAAAATCAATTAAACAGTAGCAATTCAACTCAAACGAGTTTATTTTTAGACCAACTTCGAAAACCCTAAAGCCTCAGTATATGATTCTTCCTTTTTCTTTCTTCTGCCTCAGACCTTCTTCCTTCTTCTTCTCTTTCGTTACAAATTATGTAAAGCCTTAAATGAAGTAAGGGCTAAATGGACAATTTCAAACAATAAGTAAGGGCTAAATGGACAATTCCAAATAATATATCATATTATTATAACTTATATCGTATTTATTATATAATACTTAAAGTTTTTAACAGTGTGTAGTTAAATTTTTTTCACCCAATTTTTTTGGTGACGTGGCCAATTCTCCTCACTTATTTCAAAATGGAGGAAATGGCCTACAATTTCACTGGAGGTGATTTTCCACCAGATCATGATCTTTTTCTTTTGCACAGTAGTTTATTTCATCCATTTTTGTGAATGAACAGTACTTACCATGTTGGGTAAAAAAGTGAATTTTTGTATACAGAATTTTTAGCTACCTCTTTAGGTGGCACATAATCAGAATCACTGTCAGATGTCATTTTAAAACTCTTACCAACCTCACGACTACATTTCCGAATAGGAGAAGGATCAGGGATGGTTTTCTTCATTGGAACACGTACAATTTTTTGTTGTTTTCTTACGAGATATACTCTTCAACCTACCCATTTTAAACCCTAAATTTGATTTCCACCAACAAATTTAAAACTCAGATATCCTTAATTTTAGATTAAACTGCAAAAAACCTCAAACCCAAGCCTCAAATGCAGCAGCACATACCTTCCATTTTTCTTCGTCTTCCCTTGTTCTTTGTTAAAAATCAAGTAAACAGTAGCAATTCAATTCAGACGAGTTTATTTTCAGACCAACTTCGAAAACCTTAAAACCTTCGTATCTGATTCTTCCCTTTTCTTTCTTCTGCCTCAGATCTTCTTCCTTCTTCTTCCCTTATTTTTCGTTCTCCGTTAAAAATCAAGTAAACAACAGCAATTCAACTCAGACGAGTTTATTTTCAGACCAATTTTGAAAACCCTAAAGCCTCAGTATCTTATTCTTCATTCTTCTTTCTTCTGCCTCAGACCTTCTTCTTTTTCTTTCTTCTTCTTCTTCTCTTTCGTTACAAATTATGTAAAGCCCTAAATGAAGTTAGGGCTAAATGGAAAATTCCAAATAATAAGTAAGGGCTAAATGGACAATTTCAAACAATATATCGTATTATTATAACCTATACTATATATATTATATAATATTGAAAACTTTTAACAATGTGCAGTTAAATTTTTTTTCACCCAATTTTTTTTGGTGACGTGTCCAATTCTCCTCCACTTATTCCAAAACAGAGGAAATGACCTACTATTTCAATGGAGGTGATTTTCCACATGATCAAGATCCTATTTATTTGCACAGTAGTTCATTTCCTCCATTTTTGTGAATGAACAGTACTTACTATGTTGGGTAAAAAAGTGTATTTGCTGTACACAGAATTTTCATCTACCTCTTCAGGTGGCACATAAGCATAATCACTGTCAGAGGCCATTTTAGAACTCTCACCAACCTCACAACTACATATCTGAATAGGAGAAGGATCAGAGATGGTTTTCTTCTTTGGAACATGTACAATTTTCTGTTTCCCGTGTTGATTTCTTATGAGCTATATTTTTTAACCTACCCATTTCAAACCCTAAATTTGATTTTCACCAACAAACTTAAAACACAGATAACCTTAATTTTAGATCAAACAGCGAAAGCCCTCAGACCCAAGCCTCAAATGCAGCAGCACATACCTTCCTTTCTTCTTCGTCTTCCTTGTTCTTCATTAAAAATCAAGTAAACAGTAGCAATTCAACTCAGATGAGTTTATTTTCAGAGCAACTTCGAAAACCCTAAAGCCTCAGTATCTGATTCTTCCTTCTGCCTCAAACCTTCTTCCTTCTTCTTCCCTTATTCTTCGTTCTTCGTTAAAAATCAAGTAAACAATAGCAATTTAACTTAGAGTTTATTTTCAGACCAACTTTGAAAACCCTAAAGCCTCAGTATCTAATTGTTCCTTCTTCTTTCTTCTGCCTCAGACCTTCTTCCTTCTTCTTCCCTTTCATTACAAATAATGTAAAGCCGTAAATAAAGTAAGGGCTAAATGGACAATTTCAAATAATAAATACGGGCTAAATGGACAATTCCAAATACTATACCGTACTATTATAACCTATACCGTATTTATTATATAATACTTAAAGCTTTTAACAGTGTGCAGTTAAATTTTTTTCACCCAATTTTTTTTGTGAGTTGGCTAATTATCTTCCACTTATTCCAAAATAAATGAAATGGCCTAATTTTTCACTGAAGGTGACTTTCCACCGGATCATGATCCTTTTCATTTGCATAGTAGTCAATTTCCTCCATTTTTGTGAATGAATAGTACTTACCATGTTGGGTAAAAAAGTGCATTTGATGTATACAAAATTTTCATCTACCTCTTCAGGTGGCACATAATTAGAATCACTGTTAGATGCCATTTTAGAACTCTCACAAACCTCATGACTACATTTCCGAATAGGAGAAGGATCACTGATAGTTTTCTTCTTTGAAACACGTTCAATTTTCTGTTTCCCGGTTGTTTTCTTACGACCTATACTCTTCAACCTACCCATTTCAAACCCTAAATACGATTTCCACCAACAAATTTAAAACTCAAATAACCTTAATATCAGATCAAACCGCAAAAACCCTCAGACCCAAGCCTCAAACGCAGCAACACATACCTTCCCTTCTTTTTCGTTTTCCCTTCTTCTTCGTTATAAATCAAGTAAACAGTAGCAATTCAACTCAGATGAGTTTATTTTCAGACCAACTTCAAAAACCCTAAAGCCTCAATATCTAATTGTTCCTTCTTCTTTCTTCTGCCTCAGACCTTCTTCCTTCTTCCTTCTTCTTCCCTTTCGTTACAAATTATGTAAAGCCCTAAATAAAGTAAGGGCTAAATAGACAATTTCAAATAATAAATACGGGCTAAATGGACAATTCCAAATACTATACCGTACTATTATAACCTATACCGTATTTATTATATAATACTTAAAGCTTTTAACAGTGTGCAGTTAAATTTTTTTCACCCAAATTTTGTTGTGAGTTGGCTAATTATCTTCCACTTATTCCAAAATAAATGAAATAGCCTACTTT